GAATTATATTGAAGGAATACTTTACCAATGCCACAGTGAATTTTAAGAAAAGTGGAACAGGAAGGTGTGAAAAAAAATTGTCAGTTCAGTTTATTGTCAGGGCCCTAATACATCCAGGGATCAAAGTCTGGAAAACAACTACCTATCCGTAGTAACAGAGGAGTACTAGCTTTCTTTTTTTACTGAAGCAGAAAAATGGTTTTGGTTTTATAGGTTAAAATTGTCTTGTCCTTTCCTGCGGGCTATGGTAAAGCAAGAGATTTTTTAGGAACCATGCACTGTGCACTGGTAGCACCTGCTTTAATGTAAGAAATGCTCTACATACATACAATCATACTATTTGTAGCAATGAGAGATTTCCGAAGAAAGGTAGTGTCCACCATGGGATTTATTTGTTTATTTCTAAAAGATATTTTCTATGTAGTTCTGAAAGGGGAAGAACGTGTATTTCTGAGAAATGTAGGTTTAGTTCCATCCTAGGGAAGAGTAGATTCAACATCAGTTTTGGAGCCTTCTGGTTTACAAGGAGTAGGATTAGAAATAATACTTCTCTTGGACATCTTGAAAGAAAAAATGGACATTGCAAAAGCCTATTTTCCTCTCCTTTTTAACATAGCCTCTGCCATCAAAGAATCCCACTGGAATTCTTGTAGTCCCTGTGTTGTTCTGATTAGACTAAATCTCAACAAGAATTTGTTCACTGCTAAAAACCCTCATCATTTACACTATTTGAAACTAAGATTAAGTTACCAGAAAGAACTAAACTTTGCAAACCATCAGTGAATCCTGGTGACAGCTTCCTTTTCCTACTTAGTGTTTTACTGCAGTCATTAACCAGCCACACAGGCAGGAAGATTTATTTTCTTTGTTTGTATACAAGGAATGTGACGTTTCAAATCTGCTTTAATGAAAAGAAAGTGAGACTTCAGAGTCCCAGCAGGAGCTCTGAATTTTGATGAAGACAAATAAATATTCTCCTGGAAGATTAAGCTTTCTAGTTTTCAATGCCAACACAATCTACTACAGGACTTCAGGAAAAAGTTTCACCCGTAACATTTATCCCAGAAGTAGTACTAGGGTTCTTGTCACTTACCATTGAAGTGGTTTCTTTTGATCCTGAGAAGGGTTGGTGATTTTCTTTCACAGCAGAGACTTCACCAGCTTACCCAGGTTTGGTTTTTGATAGGGTGCTAGAAGATGGGCAACCTAGCCTTGCCCTGGGGCTCTCTCTCCAAGCTGGATATTCTAGGTCTAGAAGTTGACTGGGAGCAGAAAAGACAACACATTCCCCTTCAATAAACAGGTGAAGCGGGGCCTGGTACTTGCACACATGTGTTTTAGACAGAGTCTTCTTAAGGAATGATTTTTGTCCCCCTTAATTGGCATGCATTTCCTGAAGGTTTTAAGAATGAAAGAGAGCCTTTATGCATACTTCAGACTCACAGAACTTTCTTTAGTTTGTACCTAAAAATGTTTGCACCTCAACAATGACAACACTTTCAAACAGAAGATCTCCTTTCCTTCTAGCAGCAAACATATGTTGTCAAGTAAAACAAATGCATCATTTTACCTCTCAGAATGAACAACTCCACCTCCATTTGGAGGAAAACTGCTCTTACAGATTGGTGGGATATGGATACAAATGTAAGTGATTATTGGAATTATTTGATTTTCTGAAACAGGTATCTGAAAACCTTTTCCTCCAATAGAACAGTTCAAGAGGCCAAAACTGAGAGAAGCACAGCTCCAAGAAGCAGACAGCTCTCCCCTCTGGCAGAGTGCACGTCTCAGCTCCTTACGGACATGCTATTTTTACACTGCTTCCAGTCCTTCCAGCACCTATCCCAATTGCAGAGAACTAAGTTCTCAATTATGTTTCAATAACATCCTTGTCAGGAATCAAGAAAAAAAAAGTTACATTATACCACACAACACTGGATTATTGCCCCATAAAAATGCCTTCAAAGCAAAATTCCTTCTTGCTTTATCAGGCAAAACCCCACCTAAACAGTCATGACCCAGCTCCATGGAGAAGACACATACAAAGCCACGGCCTACTCCTCCAAGCAAGGAACACCACAAAGTGACCAAGCACTTACTTAGGATCTGGGTTGAAGCTCTCCAAGTACCTACCCAGAAGGTTAAATTTCTGGGTGTGTGTTTTTTGTTTGTTTTTCTTCCAAAAGATTGTTTAAAATATTCAAATCAGACTGAAGAACATTGTGCACTAAAGAAAGTTTTGCAGAATTGCCCATCTGCATAACTTTGTTACTGCCAGGAAAATGGCTTGTGGTCTCTGTGCTCCTCCAGTCCCCCATGTGCCCCATCAGAGGCTGCTGGCACAAGTGTAAAGTCTTTTTCCCCATCACACGTGCACATGCATCCAGGCAGACAATTAACGTCATTCATACCAGTCTGTCACAAAAAAAAAAATCTCCTTTCAAACAGCAAGGACTCCTGCTGGGTATACACCAGTGTTCAACAGCAGACAGACACTGCACACCTTTTTCGTGAGTGGTCTTCCATCCACATACTAAGCTGACCAAATCAGTGGTTGAGTTCAGATGACACAGTCTGAGCAATTTTGGGTAAATACCTGTCACTTATAAATGAAGATGCAGGAAAGAGTTACTGAAACAAGAATCAGAACCACACTTACTGACCCACTGCACATTACTTTGAGAGGTAGGTTAAAATTCAAGACACGCTGTATAAATCAGGTTATAGTAAAACAAAACAAAAATCAGAGTCCATCACAGAAAACAGCCACACAGCATCTTCATCAACTACCTGAAAATACTGAGTATTCACAAAGAAGGCAGCTCACTAGAACGAGCTATGCAGACCAGTTACAAACTCCCCCACAAAACACAAAGTCCAACCAGGCAATCAGCCTCATGTCAGTTGCACTGCAACTATTGCCAAGTAGATCTGCATCAAAAACCACTTTCACAGAAGTATCATTTTTGTTGGGTGGGTCAGGAGGGTGTTTCTGTAGCCACTGTTAAAGTATTTTACTATTGTGAGGAAAATGTGGATTGTTAAACAGCATAATGTCAAGCTATAATATACAAATTGGTGATAAAATTTATGTTGTATGCACCAAGCTGCTAACTTTGTCCCCTCCCTGAAGTAATAGTGTATAACTAAAATCAGTTTAAGTATGGCTGTAAATACCACACAGCACTTGTTACACTGTCCCCAGAGCTATCTTCATTGCCTTAGGGGAAAAACACTTTAAGAATATTTACATCATTGAGAATGTATGATCACTCATTTCCTTAAAAGATAATATACATACCACACTGACATTCATATATGCCAAGTTTAGCAACTCTGGGGCTTTTTTTTTTTCCAGTTCTTGCATGGTTTAAAGTGTAAGCCTCAGTGTTCCAATACTCATTTACACAAACATCCTAATCAGATTTAGTTTTAAACAATAACATTTCCTTGCTACCCTTTCACTGAATTTCTCTTCATTTCTGCACATAAGCTTGTGGTCAGATTGCAAAGACATCTCAAACAAACCCAGTTTTTTCCATGTCAGAATAGACATATGTACAGGAATGCAGCAGTACAGGTATATGCAATAATTCATTAGCTGGCAGGTCCATCTAACTTAAAATAGAGCCAGTAATGCTTACTAATTAATAATTACTAATATTAATAATGATCACGAATGACCACACTTTACACACATTTTTGAAGACAGACTACATAAAGTGCACCATGAAGTCCCTGTCTGAATCAATTTGTATTTGTTCTGGCTTCTGTATGTATCACCCTCAGCTAACGTGCTGTTTTAAGTGTTTGTATTAAAATTAAGACAGCAGTAATGAAACAGATGTATGTTCTCTTACATCACTTTATTTATCCTCATGGGGGAGCACAGTATGAAATCATCTAGGCAGTCAGAAGTACAGAACTGAATTCAGATACAAGTAACACTAGGATGATATTGGAAACTTATAGTCCAATTATGAGCTTTCTGTTACTCAGGAGCATAAGGAGGAATGCCAGTGGTCAGACCACACCCCCTGAGGTTGGGGGTACAGAAAGAAATGGACTGAGCTCCAGCCAACATAACTAAGAGCGTGGTAGTTCATGAAGCACACACAGGTAAAGGGATAGAAAGAATTTTTCTCTGCTACCTGCTGGGAAGAGAAAGGCACAGGATGTGCTAGCTGTAGCATTCTTAGGCTACTCCTACAATTCAAAAGTTTTTTTTTGCATTTCCAGAAGTTACCTTATAACCACTGTTGAAGAACTTACTGCCTGTAGGAAAAAGTCTTTACAGAGAACATCCCTAGCTAGAATCTTGCCTTCCCTTTCACAGAAGCAGAGAAGCCCAAGATCCAGGCTCTACTAGCCACCTTCAAACTAGTAATAGAAAATTCATGAGTAGGTAGAACTGGTAAGATTCAAAGACCTGCAGCCCAGAAGTATACTTGTAAAATTGAGTGGCATATGAGCATACATAAATATTCCATGGTGGAAGAAGTCTCTCTCTTCAGGTAATAAACATGAAGACAATCAGGTAAGTTTACTCATTTGCAGGTCAACAGTGGTAGGTTAGAAAAGAATTAGTACTGTACAGAAAGATGATGTACAATTATACAAGGAAAACTGACTTAATAGAAATTGCTCTATACATGGAAGAACACCTGCACATAGAAATTGCTCTATACATGGAAGAACACCTGCACATCCCACCATTCAGTACAGGTGTGTGTGTGTGCGTATGTACGGGTGCATCTGTAACACTGCCAAAATGCAGGGAAATCAGTTTTCTTACATATTACACAGCAGAAATACTCACACTTCTACAGAGTGCTCTCTTCAGCCTTAACTTACCTCAGGAACTAGTGCCAGAAACTGGAAGTTTTAGGGTTTTGGTGTGATGCCATTCTTCGCCCCTCCCTAAACTTGTAATCGGTGACGCACTCAGTTTAAAAACAAAAACATTGCTGCAAGGTGAACTAGACAAATTAGGTACTTACTTATCAAAGCTATCACTATATTTTATGAAGCTCTCCAATTTTTCCTTGGCATATTCTACCACATCTGAATGAAGCTCTATTCCATGATTTATCCCAAAAGGTCCTGTAAATAAAAACAGCAGGGTGGGTTTTGTTTTATTTTTTCTTTAAGCACAACCACATGGAACAGCATTATACCTTTCATCTGTGAAAGCACTAACACCACAGAAAACACAGAACTCTCCCAACACCACTAAACAGAAGTTTTTTGCATCTGCATTACCAATGCTTAAGAGAGAAGTGAAAGGCCAAAGCATCAATGAAAGAACTGTGGCAAAACAACTGCATAGAATGAATTTTCTTCATAAGCATGCATATAAAAAAGAAATCAATGTGACTAACATTTAAAGTCAGTCTAAACAATTTTTTCAACAGAGTCTTCATTTGGAATGCAACAATCTCAAATCATAATTTAGTCTGTATCTTGGTATTTACATTCTGAAGTTTTCTTACAGAAGGCAAATTTTTCAGCTTTTGGCAATTCAGAGATCAGTACTATGCCCCTTGGCCACATCTGCTATTCTGTTTTGCAGGTTCCAAAATGAGAAATCTGTTCCTACTTTACTTATATAATAATTAACTCCCATCTAGAACCCCAGAATCGACCACACGTTAGGTTCACTCAGCACAACCCCATCGCAACCACAGCGCTGCTCTCCTGCAGCCAAACCCAAGTACACTTCCATGTCAACCTGTGTGCCAGAAGGTGATGCTGTTTTCCAGGAACAAGAAGAAATCATGACACAGTATTATGAGGATTATCCACATCAGGCAGGAATCTGAATCAGACAGTCACATTTGGTGTGGGGATTCTATATTTAACATGCACTCACAGCCCAGGGACTTTACAATCATTGGAGCACAGAATTGAAGGGAGAGTGAAGCAGAAGGCAGCAAAGTAAACATCAATAAGATTAGACAAAACTTATATTTATATTCTCTACTGCATTCTAAATCTTTCCTAAATATTTAGCTCAAAGATGTTACTCCAATGAAACAAGAATTCAGCTTGTCTTTTCTAGGACATAGACTAACAAAACAGACCAAGGGTTACTGAGGAGTGTTTCACTTCACTGGAAGAAGCAGCAGAAAGCATAAGCACTAAGCCAATTAACAACTGCAGTTTTTAATGTAGTTTAGAACATCTACTAGGCAAAATAAAACCCATGTACTAGGATACCACAGACAGTGCTTGTAAGACCTCTTTGGATCATCCAAGGGATGTTCTTAGAACCTGTGAAAACTACCTCCTGCTGACATTCATACCTACTGTGAATTTATTTATCCCATTAAGAAAAGCATTAGTGTACACAATCCCTTCCTAGCTGCTTAATTATTTAATGTTCCCTTACAAAGTAATAGGCTATGATGCTTCTAACCAGTGCAATTACAGTTCTACAGCATGCAGCAGCAACCAAGCTGTTTTCTTTCATTAAAAAGTAACTGCCATTCCTTTAACCTCATAAGGTAAATTAAAAATGCATGAGTATCATCTGTCCCAAAATTCACATACACATTCTTTTCAATACACAACTTTGAAAAATAAAGAACTAAAACCACCTGTGTCTGTTCTTTCAGCAGCTTGAAGTTAAACCTATGAATGCAAGACATCACTACATCATGATACACCATAGTATTTGTAGTTTGAACAGAAATATGAGAAGTATGTTCCCTTCTTTCATCAGGAAAGTCAGCCATACATTTAAGCAATCAGACAATCTAAAACTCTGGAAAGTTCTCTGCTGCTCTCCAAAATCAATTGGCCTCTCTCAGCAGGAGTTATCAATTCCACTGGGTAGTCTGACCTACATTTCCATTTTTACAGTATCAGCAAACTCCACTTAATCTCTGGAGTGATTTTTTTTTTTTCCAGCATGTTGCTATATTTACAAATATTTACCAGTTTTGAATGATTTGCTAATTTAATCTCATCATTTTGACACTGCCAACGTGGCAGAACTACCTTACCAAACTGAAAAATATCTAACTACTGTCAAAAAACACATGGTTCTCTGTTCCTAATTGCAGTGCACAGTGAAATCAGGGTTTTTTTAAAAAAAAAAAAAAAAAATGTGAGCTTTTAAAAATATATATGGTTTATTTGTCAGAAAACTACGTTGGTTTATTTTTCTTGGCTAAAGCAGCTGTTCCCTGGTTCAAAACACACACTAAAATAAAAGCACTATGATATCTAACTAATTTTATGAAAGGGAGAAGAGTAAGAAAAGGCACACTGATGTTATTTCTACCTCCCACGTCTCACCTTAGCTCTCAGACCACACTACAGCCCTAAGCAGACTCTGGCACTACAGAAAGAGGGCAAGTCGACTCCTGTGAGCAGCCGCTCACTGCCCCGGGCTCCTCAGCCCTGCTCCCAAGTACCAGCACCTCAGCTGGCTCTGGGGGACATCTCCAGTGCCACCGTGCTCCTTGGGGGCTGCAGCAAACCTCACCCTCTGCAGGAGACAAGTGTCCCCCTGTCTGATTTCTTCATCTCTGCACGTGGTATTCTGAAGGACAGGAATCCTGCTTGGTAAGGAGAGGTCAAACCCGGGAGCCTTCAACAGCCACTCAGGAGAGATGGGATGAACACACACATCCAAGTGCAATACACACAAGCCACAGCTTCTTTTTTAAACATCATAGTTAAGAAAGAATAATGAAGTAAGCAAGCTTTCCACAAGGTACAGAAATAAATATTATTCACTACTCTGAGCAAACATTTTAAGATAAAAAATGCAGCAATATTAATTTTTTTAATACTGAAACACAATCGTGAACTTAAAATTTTATAATATATTTACAAATATGTACTCTCAAACAGAAACTCTTGTAAAAGGCAAAGAAACACTAATAGAGTAGATACCTTTTTTTGTTGTTCTGGTTTTTTTTTGTTTGGTTGGTTTTTGTTTGTTTGTTGTTTTGTTTTGTTTTTTATCTGTAAGTGAACAGATCCTGCTTCCACAAAGTAACAGTGGAATCAACTGCATTTACTGGTATTAATCAGAACTAAGTTTATTAGCAAGACACTAGTGGAGATGTCAACTATGTATTCAAATTAGGCTTCTTATGTACTATTAGGGATAATTTCCACTCTTCAATGAATAATAACAGAAAGTACCTGAACTAATTGAAAAGTAACAAACCAACTCCTCACACCTTATTTATGTATATTAATATATATAGGCAATATCTGTATATTACCTGTCAGCAAGGTTTATGCAACCAAGGAAATATGAAAACTGCAAGTAACACAATCAGTAGAATTATATCTATGAAAACTACACACTAAAATAAGTGAAGTTATGTCATGTAATGAAACGCATCTGTTAGAAAAATAATCATTTGTTGGTATACATGCTCTATCAAAAATATTGGGAAGGGGAAGAAATAAACCATTTTTCTAATGTAGGTCTTAAAATTTAGACAGCAGTATTTAATTCCATCTCTTTTTATGCAGATATCTATTTGAAAACAGAAGGAAAATCACAATGTTTATCTGTTAAAATAGCTTTGAAAACCAACAGACCTGCAGTGCTTGAACTGTCTTGCCAGTATACATCCCCAAACTTTGTCACTAAAGAAATTACCAAATAAATGTATTTTAAAATAGTTGTTTGCACACAGGTAAAGATTATTTTTCAATTAATTTTCTTCAGGAATCATTAGCCTTTACAATTTAGGTATTTCTTTCCATAAACTGGAGATCAAAACAGTAAAGTAAGGGCACAAACATGGTGCAATTGCAGAGTAAAGCTTTAGTCCTCAAACCTGTTCCTCTATGTCTTTCCCTTTTAAGCAACAAAAGGTCTGTTTCCTTTCAAATTCAGGCTATAGAAAGGCAAGCAGGAACAACTGCCTCTCCCAAAACACTCCATCAAATGTCACAGAGTAACAGTGACAGTGAACAACTTGTAGATAACACAGAATATTTTAACAACAGATCTCAAACACGAGTTCAAGTGTAGTACTGTCATTTTTAAGGAATAAAAGTAAAGTTTTAGAGGGCTTGTAACATCTTCTAAAGATATGCAGAAACACTGTATTAAGATAAAAACATTCAAGTTACCTAATATTAATCCCACCATTGTACTCAAGTATCCGGTTCCACTACCCAGATTCAGAAAAGATAATCCAGGCTGAAGCTTCAGTGCTTCCATGACTTCAGAATAAATGCAAGGTGCTGACAAGTGTATATTTCCATGCTTCCAGGCCAAGTCTTTGTAAGCATTGTCCCTGTATCCTTCCAGATAATAATCACCACGATCAATTGCTCTGAAGGCTTGCTCCACGCTCTCGGTGCGGATGTACTGAGCTTCTTTCAAGTTATCAATTAAGTCATCGTTGTCTTCTCCAGCACTCACAGCTCCTCCCATGCTGAACTTCTATGGTAATTCAATTACTTTTCAAAATACATGAGGAGGAGGGTTTTCCCAAAACTAACTGTGTAATGGATTCTCAGTTGTTCTTTCAGAAGCACATCCCAAACGAATCCTGGAAAATAGATATTTTTATATAAACTTGAGTTCCAAAGACATGAAAAAAATAATCACCGATCGTTAGGGGGTGATGAAACACAGTTAGCAGAAGAGGAACCAATGAAGAGGTAGGACAGCCTGTACTTAACCGAAATTCTGCCCTTCAGATTTTAACTCAATCCTGTATTTTCTATCTTAGCTTTAGTATGTCAACATGGACTATCTAGACTGTCAAGCAATGCAGCCTAGGACACCAAAACCACGACAGTGCTAAGCATCTATCAGCCATATTACATATTTTTGGGGGAGGCAGTAACTGCCTCTGGACCAGCTCTACTGTCCTGAAAACTGAACATCCAAGAGCAGCTGAAGCATGTACCAACTGAGTTACTACTGAAAGAGACTGGGTTTACATGCTCTGTGATCAGCCCACAGTGGCAGACGAAGCCAGGTGAGCAGTGATGTCCAGGAGCTGCTTCTCAGACATTCCAGATGAACCAGAATATTAGCAGAGACAGCCACACGTTGCTGTTCTGGATTCAGCACAGGAAACCCCTGTGAGTATCTGAGCTCCCCCTAACGCCTGCCACAGAGGAATACAAATCCCTTAACTACCTAAAAGTTTCCAACAGCAGGTTTCATGAATTCTACACAGCATATTCACTTTAAAATAATTCTTTCAGATGTGTATTTTATCTGCAGTTTTACATCAATCATTAAACTCATAAAGCCAAGATGTTAATTTTTCTAATGTTGCATGAATTACCAGTAAAATAGCAACAGGAGACCAGAAGAAAGGAAAACAAAACAAAAAAGAGATCAGTCCACCAAATTCTAGATGAACAGAGCACCCATAGTGAGCTAGTTGTTAACATTAATTACAAAGTCAGCTTAGATGGCCAGAAGAAGGAAAAGACCAACCATCTTGTTCCATGTTCTAGGTAACCTAGTTAACAAAGGATGACCAAAACCAAGACAGACTCACCCTGATGCTTTAGTTGCATTCATGAGTATCATCTTTTAAAAAATTCCCCCTGCCTCTTCAAGCAAGCATGTATCATCAAGAACTTTTTAAAAATATAAATGTACTCTATCAAAGAATACTCCCAATGCAATTCACCAAAATCATGTTTTCTACATGCCTGTTTGTGTAAATTTGTGAGTCAGGAGTTCACAGACACAAGCCAGATGCCCAAGTTCATTTAAATTTCCAGAAAAAAGCTGGTTCTTAAGTTTACATTGTGGGCATCACTGCAACACAATTTTTATGGTTAAATACTTTAAAATTAATAACCTTAGAACACCAATGAATCCTTTTCTACATGTTTAACAGGTTTCTATCAAAACAGTACTAATAAACTCTTCCATAAAATCAAATGGAAACATCCAGAAACTACAAGCAACTACAAACTTTTGGGTTTGTTTTCCCCCTCCCCGTGTCCCCTCCACTGCAACACTAAAAAAAGACTTTTGGAGTTTGAACCACTTTCCTGAAGGACTGAACTGCCAACAGCAATGACTGTGAAGTCAAGCACTGCAACATCCTTACAAATAAAAAAAAAAAAAAGAGAAGAAAAAATTAAAACCCTTACTCGTATGCTGGACTGTAGTCCAATAAGTAAATTCACTTTTCTGAGCACCAATCTCAGAATCAAAGAGTACTAAAACTATTAAAGATCAGTTCTGAGCAGAAATGGCACATATAAGGATGTACATAATACTAAGGAAGGGAAAAGTAAGACTGAACTTTGAAATTTCTTTTGGCCTGCTGTTCTCTTCTTGCTTAAGAAAAAGTTTCTACGGTATCCAACACCAGGAGCTATACAGTTCTCCTCCCTCACGACTAGAAGGCCATCACAGAGCAGTCTTCTAGCCAGGAAACCCCAATTCTATTTTAGTCCTCACAGAAGCCTTTCCTTAGCCTTTCTTCACATTAATTTACATAAACCACCCATTTGCTAATGAAGATAAATAACCCAATAGTACCAGTTCTAAGATATACAGCTGGATTTAAAATTCCAAGCACAGAAGCTCAAATTTACCAGATCGTAGAGTCACAATCCTTCTCCTTAACTACAAACACACTTAAAATAGAAACAGGGAGCGGGAGAACGCTCAGGGCTTGAGAGAGCCTTGGTAGGAGTATGAAACCATGACTGTTCACCACTGAGCTGTGTGTTTCTGCCTGAAGACAAACCAGTCTTCACTGATGATATGGAGAAGGAAGATGTAAAAAGTCACCAGGTACAATGATTGATCAGCATGAAAATCTTTGATGAAAGAAGAAAAAAACTCACACTTTTCAACATCCTAGTGTTCCACAGAATAGGTAGGGCTGCATGTAATTGTACTGGAATGTCCTTTTATTTGTGAAAAACTAAGGGAGTATTTAGACCAGAATATGGAACTTGAGGATTTTAAGTAAAAAATAATTTGTAAAAATATTCCAGCCCTGCTTACTTGTCTGCATCACAACTAAAAGTTCAATGAACTGCTGAATCAAATTATAACTAACAAGTTAAACGTTCAGGACATGGTTTAGTGGTCATGGTGATGCTGGGTTGATTTTAGAGCTCTTTTCCAACATTGATCTACAGTGACTAAAGCACTACTTTTTGCCATCTTTTTGTCCAGAGAACTCCCTTATTGTCTTGAGATAAGTTTGGAAATAATTTGAACTAAAAAGTAAATGTAAGAACTGAGTTTCTTGAAGACCAATGCAGCTGCTACGCTGGAGAAACAGCAACACCACTTCCAGCCTTACCTGCAGAGTGCATTCACCACCTCGCACCAGCAGATGGAGAACTTCAGCTACTGGCACAGCCCACGAGCAGGCAAATGCACAAACTGCTCAGATAAAGGCTATTCTTCCACCCTAAGCTGTTACCGTGTCTACCAAAACAAGTCTTCAATAGTTTCACGTAGAATTTCTTTCCCATAAACAACATTTCCGATTTCAATAGAGTCACTACGGTAAAGCAAAATGAACAAAATCTTCAGGTGTTTTGTAGTTTTATATTCTCGGTATTATCTCACAGCTAACATTACTTTAGTATCACAGGATTCTCTACTGCTGACACCCACCTTCATGCAGAATCTCAAAGGCAAGAACAGAGAAGGTCTGGTACACAGGATGCCACTGTGGGAAGCAGGGGAGAAAAGCAAAGTCTGCTCTCGAGAGTGGGTCTCTGACGGAGCAGAACAGAGCAGCTCCTTGGAAGGGTGGCTGCAGGTTGTGTCTTACTCTGACACACTGCCCCGGCTCAAAAAGGTGACATTCAGTACACAGGGACATCAGTTCCTTTCTAGATATTTTGCTTTTGGTTTGCTTTCATTGATCAACTGTGGTGCTCTACTCTGGACTCTACAGCTATAAGTAAGCAAAAATGGTACTCAAACGGTACTCAAAAAACATGCTAGAAACAGATCTTTTAATGAAAAGTGACCTCCTGTGCTGAAGAGAATTTTTTTTTTTATATTTTACCTTCCTCCAGTGCTTTCATGTTTGCAAGCTTTTACCTTATGAAAGTAAAATTACTTGCTTCAAACAGAGGCAATGGATGTGAAGTCAGACACACTGCCTACTATTTGAACACACAAAAGGCATCACCTCACAAGATATTTTAGCATAGGTGAAGAGGAAGGGCAAGCTAGTCAAAGCTTCCTCATGACAGCTGAGCCAGGACCACGGCAAAGACAGCAGAGCATACTACAGTAAAACTTTCTATTTAGCTGCAAAGCTCACAGAGGTCACCCTGTGAAGCTCACTGACACCTAAAGTTAAACACACACAACTCACAAAATGCACGAGCAGCATTCTGATGCCTATTATGACAAGAGGCAGAGAAATTTCAGAAGAAAGGGTAAGGGTACATAACATTAACAAAATGCAGCAACTGCCTTTAGCCTTAGCATCTTTGAAATTCAGAAGCCAAGTGAAATTGTAGTTTAGAGTTAAAATTTCAATATAATCCTGAATACAAAAGTTTGTACATTCATTAAAACCAACTACAATTAAAAAACCTGTTTCTCATTCCACACCAGGCACAAATTTATTTTTACAAGTTGAAACACTGTGCTGAAGTTTCTCATATGCACAATGAGATATCAACACTGTTTCTGTTAAAAATCCACACGACTGTATCACAACACCTCTGACTTGTTTCTGACCTAACTTGTAACTGATTGTTCTGAGATTCCTTATCATAAATAACTTCTGATTTTGTTTTTAGGATTGTCACATTAACTCAGCAAGTGTTCTTCAGCTCTGTGAATCTAAGAAGTGCTGACAATTTCAGTGCATTTTAATTCACCACTTCACAAGCTATGCAGAACTATTATCTAAGAGGTTAGTAACCATATGTAAGGTTTGCCAAGTTTTTTGCCAGCTCTCAAAGGGACACAAATTCTGCACATTTCAATTTTTTTACAAATACATTTGCACTTCAAGCTAATTCCTTAGGTCACTAAGGACTTGCACGCTCTTTTATAAATACTGATTAAATACCAGGCTAGCAAGGTATCCAGTTAATTTGACAGACATAACCTCACCTTTGCTAAATCCATACAACGTCAAGTACCTTCCAAGTTTTGTATCTTGCAATACTGACACATCCTGAGTCCACACAGATGACTCCTTAACTACAAATTATTTGAGCCTAACTTAATTCATTTGAAAGGATGAAAAAATAGAAGGGAAGACCTAATAAATGGAATCAACCATATTTCAAGCCTCCTCCTCAGAAGTATCTTCCCTAAGTTATCACCTTGGAGCACACCACACCAAATCAAGACTGTGGTATGTTACTCTAAACTCACAGATAGCATACAAAATTGCTTGGTGAACCTACGCCCTTACCCAGGAGGAGAAGAGGTGGAAGACACAACAATAAATCACCAAGCTACACATTAATATAGACATTGGACTCAGCTGCTAAGGTTCCCTAAAAAGGAATATTCTGTGACTGGCAGCAGGAGGGAAATGTGCAGAAGGGCTGGAAACCCTTCAGCCCGTTTAACA